CTGTGAAGTTTATGTCAGTGTCATAGAGACCCACTCTCAGTCCTCTCTCAGTCTTATCTCTCAGTCTTCTCTGGGCAGTAGATGTGTTTGCTCCTGAGAGCTGTAGATGTCATCAGGGATGGGTGGGATTGGGGGTCTGAGTGGGATTTGTAGGTTACAGGGTCAAGAGGATGGCTGTTGGTGTAGCCTTCTTGCAGGAGACTTTTCTATTGACCTGCTAGTGTGGCTGTGATGGGTAGGGGAAAGTTCCAGGGTTTTGCCTCAGGCCTCAGGCAGAAAGCTTGTTCAGACAGGAAGCTTGTCACTCACAAGTAACAATTACTGATCATTAATATCCCTTAATACCAATGGACTCATCTCACCTAAAAAAAGGGCACAGACTAACAGAATGGTTACAAATCAGGATCCATCCTTCTGCTGCATAGAAGAAACCAACTACAACTTCAAAGATAGACATTTCCTCACAATAAAGGGGTGTGAATAGACTTTCCAATCAAATGGATCTAAGAAGCAAGCTGGTCTAGCTATCCTAATATTTAACAAAACAGACTTCAAAATAAAATTAAAATCAAAAGGGATGATGAAGGACATTTCAGGTTCATCACAGGAAAAATCCATCAGGAAGTCGCAATCCTAAACATATATGCCCCAAATACAATATCACCCATATTCATAAAAGAAACATTACTAAAATGTAAATCACACCTCAAACCCCACACACTAATAGTGGAAGACCTTATCACCCAACTCTCACAAGTGGACATGTCTGCCAGACAGAAAATTAACAGAGAAATAACTTAAATGTCAGACATTATGACTCAAGTGGACTTACCAGACATTAATAGGACATTCCACCCAACAAAAAAGAATACACTTTCTTCTCAGCACCCCCATGGAATCTTTTCTAAAAATTTTCACATACTCGGTCACAAAGAAAATCTCAACAAATAAAAAAATGGAATGACTCTCTGTATCTTCTTAGACCACCATGACTTAAAGTTAGAATTAACAATACAAATTCTAGAAAGCCTACAAACTCATGGAAACTGAATAATACCCAACTGAATCACTCCTGTGTCAAGGAAGAAATAAAGAAATTAAAGATTTCCTAAAATTTAATGAAAATGAATGTACAACATACACAAATTTATGGTACACTATGAAAATAGTGATAAGAGGAAAGTTCACAGCAATAAATGCCTACATAAAGAAGTTAGATTAATTCCACATCCATAAATTAACAAAACACCTCAATGCTCTAGAATAAAAGAAGCAAATTCACCCAGGAGTAGTAGATAGTAGTAAATAATCAAATTGTGGGTCAAAATCAGTAACATAGAAACAAAGTGAACAATAGAAAGAATCAATAAAACAAAGAGTTTGTTCTTCGAGAAAATCAACAAGATAGACAAACCCTTATTTAAAGTAACCAAAGACACAGAGAGAATATCAAAATTAATAAAATCAGAAATGAAAAGGGGACATAACAACAGACACTAGGAAAATCCAGAGAACCATCAGATCATACTTCCAAATCATGTATTCCACAAAATTGGAAAATTTAAAAGAAATGGACAGTTTTCTCAATATATTCTACATACCAAAATTAAATCAATGCCATGTATAAAATTAAAAAACCTATAACCCCTAAGGAAATAGAAACAGTCATTAAAATTCTGTCAACCAAAAAATATCCCAGGACCAGATGGCTCCAGCACAGAGTTCTATCAAAATTTCAAAGAAGAGCTAACTCCAATACTTCTCAAGTTGTTCCACAGAATAGAAACAGAGGGGACATTGCCAAACTCCTTTTATGAGGCTATAGTAATCTCGATACCCCCAACACACAAAGATGCAACAGAGAAAGAGAATTACATACTAATCTCCCTCTTGAACATTGATGCAAAAACTCTCAATAAAATACTGGAAAACTGAATATAGGAATGCATCAAAAAGTGATCCACCATGACAGAGTAGGTTTCATCCCAGTGTTTCTGGGTTGGTTGAACATATGGATATTTTTCAATGTAATCCATCATATAAAGAAATTGATAGAAAAATACCATATTATCATCTCATACACTGAAAAATCCTTTGACAGAATCCAACACCCCTTCATGATAAAGGTCTTGGAGAGATCAGGGATACAAGTAACATACCTAAACAATAAAGGCAATAGCCAACATCAAACTGAATGAAGAGAAACTCAAAGTGATTACACTAAAATCAAGAACAAGAGAAGCCTGTCCATCTCTTCTTATCTATTCAATATAGTATTTGAAATTCTAGCTAGAGAAATATGAATACAAAAAGAGATCAAGGAGAAACAAATTGGAAAGGAAGAATTCAAACTATCTCTATTTGCAGATGATATGATAGTATACAGAAGTGAACCCCAAAATTCTACCCCACAATTTGTACATCTGATAAACACCTTCATTAATGTGGCATGATACAGAATGAACTAAAAAATCATTAGCCCTCCCATATACAAATGATAAAGGGGATGAGTGGGAAATCAGAGAAACATCATCAGTTATAATAGCCATAAATATAAAATATCTTGGGGTAACACTAACAAGTGAATGATCTGTATGACAAGAACTTTATGTCCCTAAAGACATAAATTGAAGAGGATATTTGATAATGGATCGATCTTCCATGCACTTGGATAGTAGGATCAACATTATAAAAATGGCAACCCTATCAAAAGTCATCTATAGATTCAATGCAATCCCCATCAAATCCAACAAGAATTCTTCACATACATTGAAAGAACAATACTCAAGTTTATATGGAAAAAGAAAACAAAACAAAAACCTAGGATAGCTAAAACAATGATGTACAATAAAGAAATTTCTGTAGTTATCACCATCCCTGACTTCAAACACTACTATAGAGATATAGTAATAAATAGCTTGTTATTAGCATAAAACAGACAGGTGGATCAATAAAAATCTAATCAAAGTATCTGGTCTCAATACACATACCTATGGTCACCTGATTTTTGATAAAGAATCCGAAATGGTGAAATGGAAAAAGGAAAACCTCTTTAACAAATATGCTGGCACAACTGGATGTAGAAGATATGTAGAAGATCACAAATAGATCCATAACTTTCACCATGCACAAAACGCAAATACAAGTAATACTGAGGACCTCAACATAAATCCAGCTACACTGCTGGATAGAAAAGAAAGTGTCAAGTAGCTTGACACACATTGGCACAAGAGAGCACTTTTTAAAATATAACACCAGTAGCATAGACACTGAAAACAATAATCAATACGTGGGACCTCCTGAAACTGAAAAGATTCTGCAAGGCAAAGACACTGTCCATAAGACAAAATGACAGCTTACAGAATTGGAAAATGTCTTTACCAACCTCACATCTGTAGTGGCATCTTGCTTTGCCAGTGAACTTGAGGTGGTGGTCACAACCTATGAGCATGGTTTCAGGTGTTCAGATGTGACCCCTTATAAGGTAGAGGAGGGACTGGCTTGCTGTTTTTGGTTGCAGTTCCCTCCTGATGCTCTCACCACAACCCAAGAAAGCAAATCAGGCTCTCATCTACCTTATAGGGGGTCATGTATGAACACCTTAAGCCACGCCTCTAGAGTGTGACCACCACCTCAAGTTCACTGGCTAAGCAAGATGCTACGGCACACATTTGACAGAGGGCTGATCTCCAAAATGTATAAAGAATTCAAGAAGCTGCCGGGCATTGGTGACGCATGCCTTTAATCCCAGCACTCAGGAGGCAGATGCAGGCGGATCGCTGTGAGTTCGAGGCCAGCCTGGTCTCCAGAAAGAGTGCCAGGATAGGCTCCAAAGCTACATAGAGAAACCCTGTCTTGAAAAACCAAAAAAAAAAAAGAATTCAAGAAGCTAGACATCAAAATATAAAATAACCCAATTGAAAAATTGGGTACAGAGAATTCTCACCAGAAGTATCTCAAATGGCCAAGAGTCACATAAGGAATTGCCCAACATCCTTAATCATCAGGGAAATGAAAATTAAAACAACTCTGAGAAGAGCAATGAAAGATATATCTTAATAGACAGAGATCTATGGCTTAGGGAGAAACCTGGTGCTAGGGTAACTCCCAAGAATCCACAAAGAGAACCCCAGCTAGGACTCCTAGCAATAGTAGAGAGGATGCCTGACCTGGCCAACCTGTGTCATCAGATTGGTGAATACTCCAACTATTGTCATAGAACATTCATCCTATAATAGATGGAACCACATGCAGATATCCACAACCAAGAACCAGGAGGAGCTCTGTGAATCCAGTCAAAGAGAGGGAGGAGGGAATATATGAGCAAGGGATGAACAAATCTACAGAGACAGCTGAATCAAGCTCGAGGAAACTCATTAACTCTATACCTACAACTGTGGAGAGTCCAGAGGACCAAAGTAGACCTTTCTTATGTGGAATACAGTTGTGAAGCTTGGAGTATCTGAGAGGCCACTGGCAGTAGGACCACAAAACAAACCTGGTACATGAACTAGCTTATTGGAGCCCACACCCATGCTTGAATTCCATGCTCAGTTTTAATGTGGCAGAGAGGGTCCTGGCCCTGCCCCATCCTATTGTGTCAGACTTAGTTGATTCCTCATGGGAACAATTATTCATGAGAAGGAGTGGGATGGGGGAAGGTGGGGGTTTAGGAGTAGGCGAGAGTGGTGGGAAAAGGGGTGGGAGAGAGAACTGTGGTGTGAATATAAAGTTAAATAAAAAATAAAAAAATGGAAAAAAGAAAAAAAAATATTATTGCTCTGTCAGGTAATACAGAAAATAAAATATTTGGCTTACAAAATAGAATTACATGTATAGAAATGTTTTTTCATATCAAGTATTATACAATAGAACTAACGTTCAGATTTTGTGTTTGTATTTTATTATTTAGCTTATTTTCTACATTTTTCCATAAGAGAAGCCTTCATATTTTGGAATAATACTTGTGATCTTGTAGGCATTCTAGTATAGGAAGTAAGTTAAATTTCATGGATATTTTCATCTTTACAATATGTCTTTCTGAGCTTATGAAAAGAATTTATCTGTGGCTTGAACAAAATAATGTAGCACTTTGGGGCAAAGATGCAGAGAAGTAGGCCTGCACTCGAGGCCAAGATACAGAAGACCTCCACAGCCACCATACCCTTACCCTTGGTGCTTTGGTAGACAAGGAGGAAGGTAAACCAGACACTACAGAACACCAGCATGCTGAATGTCAGGTACTTGGCTTCATTGAATGTGTCAGGCAGATTTCTGGCCAGGAAAGCCATAGTAAAACTTGCAAGGGCCAGAGAGCCCAAATATCCCAGGACACAGTGGAAGGCAGTAGCTGAGCCTTTGTTGCAAACAATCAATATGTGGCCATGTACAGTTTGTGCATCAGCATCAACAAATGGAGGAGAAGTTCCAAGCCAGATTCCACAGAGAATCACTTGGATCATGGTGCAGATGGGAATGATGATGTTTGGTGCACCTGATGCCAGAAGCCATCTCATCTTTGCATCTGGAACAGTGACCTTGAATGCCAGTACTACAGTAATTGTCTTAGCCAAAACAGAAGATGTTGCCACAGTGAAGACAATTGCAAATGTGGTCTGCTGCAAGATACAGGTGGTTGTATGTGGTTGACCAATGTAGAGCAAGGAACAGAGAAAACAAAGTATTAGGGAGAGGAGTAGTACATAGCTGAGAACTTGGTTATTGGCCTTTACTATAGGAGTACCTTGATGCTTCAAAAAGACAACAAGTACAACAGCTGTAAGAAAGGAGAAAAATAGGCCCAAGGCAGCCAGAGACATTCCCAATGGATCCTCATAGGCCAGAAAGGTGACAACTTTCTTGAGGCAGTGAGTTTGTTTTGTGTTGGCATATTGATCATCTGGACACATCACACAATGATCCATGTCTAGTATAGGAAGGGAAGCATTTTCAGATTTAGTTTTTTTCTTAATATTCATGAAACATGATAGCTACATTTCTGCATTAAGAAGTCATATTTGTTGTGGTATACAGAAACTACATGTGTTTGATGCATAGGACTTAATTCTAATTTCCATTGCCCTTAATCATAATGCAAAGATTTTGTTCATATTTTTTTACTTACCCAAGAACTTTTTATTTTTCAAAAAGAATTATGTACTTTCACATAATGTTCAGGTGGCCACAGTAAAATACCTTGTATTGAGTCATTCATGGAAACACAGTTGTTACTCAAAATTTTGCATGCTATGTCAAACAATTCAGAATGAGCTACTACCTTTCATATCATAATCTATCAGCAACAAATTGGTTTCCACATACAAATGTCCTCATGTCTCTCCTTTGACACACAAACATTACCCACTAAATATCTTGGAAGGAACCTATACCCACCAAATTATTAAAGCAATATTATTCCTAATAATGTTCAAAGTATCTGTGCCTATACACAGATTGGTAAAGTACTCTCCAAACAAAAGGAAAACTATCTTTGAAACAATGACTACTAGAGAAAAATCACTACCAGTGAAAATGTAGAATTGTGGAGTTTTGTCTAATAGATACATCTATAATAATACTGCCTCAATTAAATTACAGGAAAAAATGAAAAAGAGGACCATGGAAAGATTGAAGAGCTAGGGTATCAGGGAGTTTGATATGATCAGTGGCTCCTAGAAATACTGCAAGATACAGCCCTAAAATCTCATTGACATGACTCCTTAAATTGGAGCTGACAAGGACAAAAACAACAGACATGATAAAGGGGATAAGGGAGAGACATTCAGGCCTCAACTCTACATAGAGAACAGCAAGCTCCTGGAATATTAAACATGGAAAATCTGTCTTTCCCAGATTATCTGTGGATAACAAGATGGTAAATCCTGAAAACATATAAGTAATATTGTACAGACTGAACAGTTTGTATTTAGAAATTATGCACACACACACACACACACACACACACACACACACACACACACTTAATGATGAAAGTGTCCTTGAATTTGAAAGACAGCAAGAAGGGGTATTATATGGGGGGATTTGGAAGAAGAACGAGGAAAATAGAAATGATATAATTGTATTATAATCTCAATAATAAAAAAGAAGCAAACAGGGCTAGCATAGCTAATTACAAAACAGAGCAGAAACACCATGGACAAATTCTCTACATGTCCAAAATATCACATTTAGTTTTATGTTCCAATAATTGATCTTTGCTTGTGGGCATTGTCTGCAAATTTTTCTCATTTCTTAAGATTTAGTCATTCAATGCTACACCGATGTTGCAGTATTTATTGAGAAAACATCAAAATCAAGTTAATATGCCATATCTCAAGGGCACAATTTTGAAAGATAATATTAGATGAGGCTAAGAAGTTTCTTCCATTTGCATCTTTATAATTTATATCACAATATATTTACTTTTTTTCAGTTGTGTAGACCCAACAAATCAAACTGAAAAGTGATTATTCCATTCCGGTCTTGAGTGTATCCATCAGAAAGTTTATATTCTGTTTCAGTTTTTAAATTCTCTCCAATTTTGCTAAGCAGTGTCATCTAAGCTGGTGAGTATAAGTAATTCAAATGCAGGCTGGAGAACTCTTGCAGGGGACCTGACTTCAATTCCCAGAAACCACAAGGAGGCTCACAAGAATCTATAATGAGATCTGGTGCCCTCATCTGGCCTGCAGGAATACATGCAGACTGAACATGTTATAAATAATAAATGAATGGATGAATAAATGAATGAATAAATAAAAAACAAACAAACAAATAAATAAATAAATAAATAAATGTACTGGAGTTTCTTATCCCAGCAGGTTCCACCACCCTTCATCCCCAAATAAGCACACAGGAGGCTATATTAATTACAAAACTATTGGCCCATGGCTAGGCCTTCTTATTGGATAGCACTCTATTAATTATTTACCCATTTCTATAAATATATGTATTTCCACATGGTCTTAGCTTACAGAAGAAGGGCCCAGACCTCTTACTCCTTTCTCTGCTACATGACATCTACTCTGCCCCTATGTGACCTTCTGCTTCCTCTTGTAGCCCCACTTATACTTCCTGCCTGGCCAGTCAGTATTTTGTTTTTCAACAAATAAGAGAAACATATATACTGAAGAACATTCCCCCATCACCTCCTTTTGTTCTGTGTAAACAAAAAGAAAAGTTTTAATTTTAACATAGTAAAAGTATATATAACAAAGCAGTTATCAAGTAAGAAGTATAGGGCCTTCCTCTGCCATGCTCGGGGATATCTGAGGCTGTGGGACTGCTCACAGTGGCAGATCCCATTCTGCAGAATCCAGCCCACCCAGAGACTGCCAAAGCCCCATACTAGTCCCACCTCCATTCATGGGCCTAGAGAGGAGAGACATCTGAGTATTGGATCTGTTTTCAACTACCAGAAGGGAACCTTGGTCCCTGACCCACCAGGAGAGGAAGAGATATCATCTACAACCACTGTAAGAAGCTATGGGAAGAAGACAATATAAAAACACATTCAACAACAGAAAAACCAATATGACAATACCGGAGTCTAGGGACCCTACACCAGCAACACCTGAACATCACAACTCAGATGAAACAGAAGAGAATGGACTTAAAAATATCTTCGTGAAAATGATAGATGGCTTCAAAAAGGATATGAGAAAATCCCTTAAAGAAATGGAAGAAAAAAACCAAAAATACCAGAAATCAACAAATCTCTTAAGGAATGCCAAGAAAATACAGTCAAACAGCTGAAGGAAACAATTCAGACAATTGAAGACCTGAAAACTGAAATAGAGATACTAAAGAAAACACAAACTGAGGGAATGCTGGAAATAGAAAAGATGAGTAAATGATCAGGAACTACAGATGCAAGCATAACCAACAGAATACAAGAGATGGAAGAGAGATTCTCAGGAGGTGAAGATACATTAAGAGAAATAGACTCATCCACCAAAGAAAATCTTAAATCCAACAAATCCCTGATGCAAAATATCCAGGAAATATGGGGCACTGTGAAAAGATCAAACCTAAGAATAATAGGTATAGAAGGTGAAGAAATATGACTCAAAGGTGCAGAAAACATGTTCAATAAAATCATTGAAGAAAACTTTACCAACCTAAAGAAAGACATGCCTGTGAAAATACAAGACGCATACAGAACACCAAATAGACTGAACCAAAAATGGTCTCTTCACCACATAAATGAGAGCAAGATAAGAGATACCATAATACAGGGAGCCATTATAGGATTAAAGAGAATTCAGGCACTAGGGAAATGTCTGGAGATCTACAACGATGACACCAAGTAACAATCTAAGCAACAGAGGAGAGGCTACCTTAAATGCCCTCCCAGATAATGTGATTGATGACTGACTTATATGCCAACCTATAGCCTTCACTCAGCAGTTGGTGGAAATGGAAGAAGATACCCACAGCTAAACACTGAACTGTACTGGAATCCAGTTGTAGAGAAGGAGGACTGATGAGCAAAGTGTTCAAGACCAGGCTGATGAAACCCACAGAAACAGCTGATCTGAACAAGGGGGATCTCTTCTTTCCCAGACTGAGAGCTGGGAAACCAGCATGGGACTTATTCAGACCCCATAATCGTGGGTGTCATTGAGGAGACCTCAGAAATGTATGGGGCCTTTTATAGTAGATCAGTACTTATCCCTAGCATAGAAATAGACTTTGGGAGCTCATTCCACATAGAGGGATACTCCTGGAGCTTAGACACAAGGTGGTTGGCCTAGGCCCTATACTACAGACCCCTTATGGAAGGCCTCACCCTCACCCTCACTGGGGAGCAGAATGTGTATGGGATAGGTTGGGTGTTAGTTAGTATGGGCACAGGAGGAAGGGGGAAGGGGGAACTGGGATTGACATGTGAAACAATCTTGTTTCTAATAAGAACTATAATTAACAATATTTAGTTCATTAACATTTGGCAAAAATTAAACACAATATTCTGTCATCTCTGTTATCTTTGTGAATCTTAAGTTTGATATGTAACTTATCTGTTATCATAACTAAGGAAAACTATAACCATAACTTTCTCTGTCTCTATCAAAGACCTTACAATGATAGTATACACTCTAATATTCACAGAGCCATCTCGCTTCCTGGACAGACACCCAACATTTTTCTGTAATGTTGGAGCATCCATTTTCAGCTTAGGGGCACTATATTGTGTGTAGCAGACTTCTCAGTAAATCAGGAAATTTTAAACTGTTCACTTGTATTGGCAGTTTGTCAATAATTTTTCTCTGTGTCCTGCAGAATGTCTGGCAGACTACTCCATGAAGAAGGAACCCTGCAGGACTGTCCCACCTTGGTTTGCAAGTTCAGCAACCATTTTCCTGTGGGTCCTTCATGTACAGTTTATACAGCACACAGTCAAACAGTCCTGGAAAGAGCAGTTTTTGCTCAAATGGCTATTTCTGCCATGTTGATGGCAAACTCTATAACAAGTTTCTTGGATGCTCATCTTCCTCTCTGATGTAATTGGCATTTCCAGGAGCAGTTGTGTTTCAGTGTCATAAAAATCCCTAACTTACACTAAATGTCATATTCTGTAGGTCTTTGAAAGGTTTGAAGGATATCTATCCATTTGAAATACATCTCTGTGTATCTAGATAACTTAACTGTAAGATTTTGACTATTATAGCTGACAATCTATAATCTGTATTTAATTATATATTATGTGTTTGAAAGACCTGTACAAATACAATACCTAAACAATAGAAGTATACACATAACAAAATTGACCTTAACTTTGAATCAATAAACCAAAATCCACACCAGTACAAAATATTCATTTTTATATCAAATAAAATCTTGAAAGATGTATTAAAAATTTCAATTTTAATATTTATTGAAAATTAATTGTTAAAATGTTTTATTTATTTACTTTTACTTTATTCTCTGATAGAATACACTCTGACCACAGCTTCCCTTTCCCCACTCCTCTATTGCTTTTTTTAGTAGGAACAAGGAGAATTAATAAAAGTGAATGTAGTATCTTTTTATTGAACCAACATAAACATCAATAAATTTAACTTTTGAATTCATTATGTCTCTGATATTATCATTTGAATCAATACAATGTTTTGCATTATTCTATCCAAGTGGTTTATTTTCATCCATTAGTCACTGGGTTTAGTAGTCAAATATTTTTATAATATTACTGTATTTTTTAAACTGTAATATTTCTTCACAATCTGCATGTTGAAACCATATAGAATTATATTTGTATGCTTGTCTGGTTCTAAATGAAACTTTCAGTTAATTATTGAGCTATTTCTCTTCACTACATCAGTAATTAAATCCATCCTTCAGAACCCTGTACAATAGGAAAAACGTATTTTTCAAAGTTTCTGGACATCAATGTATATTTCACCACATATTTATTCAAAATCTTCTCTGTGCATCACTTTTATGAACATTATGATGCTATCTTTAATTCAGAGTTGAATATGATTTTTAAATTTAAAATATCTCTGATAATGACATTTGAATCAACACATTTTTTTGTGTTGTGTTTATTCAAGTGGCTTATTTTCATCCATTAGCCACTAGGTTTAAGAGTCAAATATTTTAATAATTTTACTGTAATTAAAAAAAATCCTGTACTATTTTTTTTTACAATCCACATGTTCAAATCATATTGAATTATGCTTACATGCAGGTCTGGCTCTAAATGAAACTGTCAGTTAATTATTGAGCTTTTTCTCACCACTACATTAGTAATTAATACCATCCTTCAGAACCTTGTATACTATGAAAAACATATTTTTTAAAGTTTCTGTAGATCAATGTATATTTCACCACCTATTTAATTCAAAACCCTCTCTGTGCATTACTTTTATGAATATTATAATAAAATCTTTAATTTAGAGTTTAATATGATGCCATCTAAACTCACGTTTGAAGGAGGGTTGAACTGAAAATACAAAGTATTAATGATGGCATTATCTACCATAGCACACAGAATAAAAACATATATTTCAGAAACATGGCAGAACATCACTGAACATCCATTCTTTGTTAGCAGGCTTGTGGCCTGCTGGGGAACATAATGATGCATAGCCTATAAATCTTAAATAAACTGAAAAATCAATGCAACTTATTATAAAATGCTGAATATTAGAATGAAGATGAGTTTCAGTATTAATCTTTAGTACTCTACTGTACTTTCTGGGAGAAAATATTATGTTCATATGTTCTAGACTGATCAGACAAAAATGTAATAAAAAATACAGTGTTTTATTTAAAATAGCGATGTTAGTGATCTTTCAACTTCACAATGAAATTTATCTATTTCCTAAAGGACTGTCTGAGAGCTATGTAATTATGGAAGAAAATAAGCAATCTTTTATTATTTTGGTAAAACATATCCTTACTTGTCATGTTGGAAATTTCATTTTCTAGACAGCGGTTACAATCAAAACAGCAGACAGCTTTGCCCTCCTGAGGGGATTTTCTGTGTCCAGGACTGCAAGACCTACTGCATATGGATGGTGGAGTCTGAGGAAAATCAGAAAATTTTAGAAACAAGGCGTTTATTTTAAGTTATAGAAGCTATAGCAATTCACAGCATGGAAAACATTCACAGTGAAATTCACAGTGAAAAACCTCTTTTTAAGCACATGTATAATAATAAAAAATCATTGTTTCTAAGATAAATATTTTGAGTATATGGTAATGTATTGTGAACACATAAATACACATAAGACAGGACAGAGAGAGGGGGGAGAGAGGGAGAGAGAGAAAGCAAGAAAGAGAGAGAGAGATCTATAGGGATGGAAATTGATTCAATAAATTAGTAAATGTCAAATGTTTTTATGCAGTGATGAAGCACATGTAGACCATAAGATTGTGGAGTATTCATGCTACATTTAAAACATTTGATTTAAGATCAAATTACCTGTCTAAAATCTGTGGCCCATTCTATCATTTCATCAGACATATATAATTGTTGTTCATTTGGAAAGTGTCCAGAAAACTTTCCTATTTTCACTTTAAGCCCAATTTTACTTTTATGATCCATGATATAGAAAATGTCATACTCTGTATCCTGTTTTGCTTTGTGGTTCATGTTCACTAGGTCTCCAGCAGGATTTACAAATTGCATGTTCTTCAGAATAGAGAACATCTAAAACACAGTTGTTGTTTTAGTTTCAACTATGTCTATACATTAGGAAATACAATATAAATTATTTAATGCCTGTAATTTTCATTGGCCTCTTCTAAATGTCACTTTATTATAAGTAGTTAGTGTAAACAAGAGAAATTACATAAAGACTTAAAATTTCTGTACATATTAAAGGTAAAATTTGGTCACTGAGTTGATAGTCTAAAATATATACATATAAATTTTATACTTATAGAGTAGTGACACATTCTCTATATCATTCTGACATGAATGTCATTTAATCATAACTTAGTAATTGAGTTTCTTAATTGTTCAAAAAGTGTCAGTACTCCAAACATTAGCTGCAAAATATTTATTACAATGATAAAAACTTTTTGATCATATAAAAGTCATTTACATGTTGCCATTTAAGAATCTTATAAAAATATTTTTTTTCAAATTTTAAAAACATAAGATTCATGTGTGCATGAAATATTCTGGACAAAACATTTTGACATAGATTGTGAAATGCTGACTTTTGTGCCTGTACCAGATGTATTATTATTTAAGACTCTAAATGAACTAAATCACTTGCCGTGAAAGAGTACAGAAATATATGCATCTGGGAGAAATGCTTGTACTTTTCATGGATTTAGAACTTACAGTTCCCTTTATGAAAGTAATTACTATGACATATAAGGAATGGGAAGCTAATTACCTGTTGAGAGTCAAATGCAAATCCTTTCCCAGCATTTTTTGACCATGTGTCCACATGGTTTAAAAGCATCTCATGGAGTGAGTAGGCCACAGCATGCACAGCATTGTATAAATTATAACTTGTATCACTCATGGCCATTCCAAACTGGTGCCTATAGAACCATTTCAACAGAGTTTTGGTAGAACAATCTTTAAGTTTTGTGCAATTAGATGATGAGAAAGAACATTCAAAATAAATCCACCATAGTTTAGCAAGTGAAATTTCATTACTATAGTTTGAAGGATGCACTGTCTGAATAAATTGTTTAAAACCAGACATCTCAGGATTCTTATGTGAGAAAATGAAAGTCCCATAGAACGGGTTAAGCATAAAATCTCCCATAAATGTGATACTATCCAATTGGGACATACTGACCCAGATTCTCCGAATTTCCACATAGTTCCATAGTATAAAGTGACATACTAGAGAGTCTTTGTCTCCATAAACAATCACAACTTTTGCTGATGACATCATGATCTGGTTATAATATGTATCAGCCATTTTAGTATATGATATAGCATCATTTGTGATAATGCTCACAAATGCTATACAGACAATTTTATTTTGCATCTCCTCTCTCAATTCAGAAAGAAATTCATGTCCATGGACTTCATCTGGAATGATCACTCCCACCCAATTCCATCTGAAGTGAGCCACTAGGGATACCATGGCAAATGGCAGAGATGTGTCCTTGGGAGACATCTGGCAGAGATGAGGAAATTGTTCATGGACATTCAGGAGAGGTTGAAAATGACCATAGTATAGCTGAAGGACATAGAATATAATCATAATATGAAGAATATGGAATTAATAATATTTGGTCTAAGATGTAAGTGTGCTAAACATTACTGGAGGCATTAGAAAGTGTGGATTCTAAACCTCATTGTTAAAATTATATCCATTTTCCTGTGCTTATCCAAACAACTAAAGAAAACTAATTTTTTTCATAAAATGCTTCACATTTCTTCTGCCGTTTGTGTTTATTTGTGATGAACTTTTGTTTCATGCA